CCCCCCGCTTTTGCTTGGCTTAAATTACATCTAATATGAAATGCTAATTTATTTTACTTTGAGTAGATTCAAATACAGATGGACTCAACTCTATTCCATGCATGCTCTATGCCTCTTCAGTACTTGTTTCTGGTTGAGACCAGATTGGCATAAACTGTGCATTTGGGAAAAAATGCAGGTCGGCAGAAACATTAAAAAAGATTCAGTGATCAGTCTTGGTGTCAGCAGAAGCAGAGTGTAACAGAACAGAACATTCAGGAGCTCAGATTTATTTCATTCTCACTGGTGAGAGTCAGAACAGCTCTATTTTTATCAGTGACCTCAGTGTAAGCCCTGTATGCTCACCACTGCACAAACTCTTCTTGTCAGAGAACTGAACAGCAATTTCAGTGCAACTCCTCAGGTTGAAACTTGCTTTTTAATCCCATTAGCAACAAAGAGAAATCTCTTTTCCCTGCCAAATGTAAGCCTGGGGTACAGTGAGACAAACTCTCTGCAAGTAGCTGTGCTGCCAGAAAAGGTTACAGCTGCTCAGTATCACCATGCCACTGAGGATGGCACGATGCTCCCGATCCTGTTGCAGTCAGAAGTGAGCTGTATTAGCTGGTGCCACAAAGGTCTTTGACAGTGCAGGCTGTTGTGGTTGCAGCAGGTCACACAGCATCTCTGTGTGTGCAGTGCATCCTTGGCTGGATACTCCTCAAGGAGGGGAGGCACAGCAAGACCGCAGCACTGGTCATAGGGAACGACTTGGCTGATGTAAACAGAGCCCAGCTGGGCCAAAAGTCTGGGGTCGTGCAAGAGGCAAAATAAATGTCTTGAGCATTTTCTGCACCACATCCAAGATGGATGGTTTTGCGAGGGAGGCAGAGGACACACATGGCATTACCTGTAGCATAGGCTCATCATCACACATTCAGAAGTGTGACTGTGATTCAGCCCTGCTGTTTAAGTTGTTTACACAACCTTGCATGAGCCATCAAAAACAAGCTGTGCTTAAGGCAACACAAATCCTCTAGCCATCCGTTCAGTTAGCACTGCAGCTCCAGAAATTTAACAATTACCCATCCTTCTAACTTCAGCAGAAACCCATGTGTGCAAACAAATTTCTTTTCAGCAGAAGAGAGCATGCCATGAGATTCTGCATGACAAATTCAACTTGTCACCTATCTAGCATTCTGTATGACCAGATATGTTTGTGTACAACCTCAAATACTCAAGATACTCAAAACACAGTATTTTTCTTCTGTACATTTTCTCTGAAAACACAAGCATCCCTGCCCATGGCAAGGGGTTAGAACTGGGTGATCTGTAAGGTCTCTTCCAACCTAAGCCATTCTGTGATTTTATGATTCTCTGAAAAGCAGTGGAAACAGTGCTGGCACTCAAGGACCAGAGCTCAGGTTTGTGCTGGACTTCCTTCAGTGAGCTCAGCAAGTATGTGGAAGTCAAAACACACACACATACACATCAGTGAGTACTGCTGGAAATGCCTTCTTTTTACATGGAAGAAGGATGAGGCATTACAAGAAACAATGCTCATGTTTCCCCATGCTTTAAATTGCTAGCAGCTCTTTACAGATGAGCATTATACCACTACTCCTGGCCTTTTTTCTATGGCACTTCTATCCCACTAAAGCACTCAGGTGTGGCAAGTGAAGTGTCAGAACAGTGGTATGACCTGGCTCAATCATGGAGATGCCCTCAAGAACAACTGTCTGGTGCTATCACATCAGCCTCCATCCTTCTTACTCTGTAATCCTTCAGGATCTCAAACAACGCTTCACAATAAGCTCTCCATAGCCAGGCTGTTGTTTCCTACAGAGTACCTGCCCTTAGTTCACATTCCAAGCTCACCTGCTATGCTTGTGCACAGTATTAATTTTGTGTATTTATTACTATTTGTCATAAAATGCTAATTGAAAAGAAGGAACATTGCTCAGCAACTGCAAGAGAATTCGTCTGTCCCTTGCATCAACTGTACTTGGTTGGTCAATAATTTAAAACAAAGAAAAAGAAATAAAGTACCAAAGAATTTAACATATCTGTTATTAGCACTAGCTCTACTGCTATAAATACCCCTGGAGAAGACAAAATCAGAAGCCCAGGAGAACTTGTGCATTTTTCATTGTCTTTTACTCAAAACACACACAAAAGTTTTGTAAATCAAAAAGGTAACTCTAAATTTGAATGCAGGCTGAAGAGAATGTTTGATCCTACTTAACCTTTGTAAAATCAAAGCTGGTGAAGATCTCTACGTTATACTACAGAATTAAAATAATGATCTAGAAAAATCAAATTGTGTACCTCATATCTTGTATCAGGGAAACCCTCAAAGTAGGCAAAGTAATTCCTGTATCAGACTTCCGTCTTTCTGTTCCAACAGCAACTACAGTGGAAAAAATATGTGAAATTAATACAAAGTTATTGAAATGGTCTGCAGTGCACTTGTTTTATATGAAGCTGAAAGCAATCCTAAGTTGCTGGTAACTGCAATGTCTCTGCATTAACACTATCCTAAAAAAGTATGTAGAAGAAAAGAGACTTACTAGCTATTCCTTCCTAACTCCAGCACTGAAGTTGGGGATATAAAAAGCTTCCTTTTACTGTATGTGAAATACATTAACAGAAATCTATACAGTGATGGCTTTTATTAGTAGTATGTTTTAATGGAAAACTCACAACTGAGAAGGATGTGATAAAATTAAGCTACAGTTGCACACTAGATGTTAAGAATGCCATGCATTTCTGTGCTCCACTCCTCTGATCAAACCGCTTTGTGGTGAAACATTTTGCTCTCAGGAATTTGTGCCTGCCAGTCAGATTGCTTAGTGCATTACTCACTGAAGCTTATTAAAAACTCTTAGTGAGTGAGACTAATTTATCCATTGATGTGTCTTTAAGGACTGATCATAGAAATTCCCCTCTGCAGAACATGAAGGATTTCAGTCCTTGGAAGATGACCCACGAAGTTCAGAGACCGTTACTACAATGTGCTGCAGCAGCCATGGGGCAGGGAGATCTCAAGGTCATCAGAAAACCATCTTCTCTCACAACACTGAAGTAATTTGGTGATTGTAAAAGGCCAAAACGAAGCATAAACCGGGTGCCTAGATTAGTGGATGGAGATTAATTACACAGCTGCTGAACTGTACCACCCACCAAAGATATATTGAACATGGAGTTACACTGCAATTTGAGAGACAGATTATTCTCAGTGGAAGAAAAATGTCAGCTGTCTGAGCTGTATCTCCATGGCTTCAGCTATTTCAGTAATAATCTACAAAATCACTACTTCTCACATCTTACTCAATGATGGATAATAGGGAATGGAGGTACTGAATGATTTTCAGATGGCAATAGTAAGTATCCTCATTTCCCTCCAACAACATCGATCTATTTTGTCCAGACATCAAGACAGTTTCATAATGATTATGAAAGGCCTCAAAATGTAAATTTGGTATTAGCAAGCAAATACACTGAAAATCTCATATGGACTTCATGTGGTTGCACTCTTCCTCACAGGCCTGAGTTCACTCACTGCTATGGATCCATGAGAGGTGAATTGCTGGGTACTCACCTGGGGACTCTGCACTATGTTCTTGCTTTTCTTCTCTCTCCTGGTACTGAAGTAAATGGGACCACAAAGCAGATTTCCCCTGAAAATTGAAAATGAAGAGGCTGTAAATAAAATGGCCAGTAGAAAAGATACTAATGAATGCAACAAAATAACGGGATGGCATTTCAGTGGGCTTCAAGTTCAGCAGTGACAGTCATTACATTTTTTTTGGGCCGTAAGGCCTCAGGAAGAGAATGAGATGGTCACACTGAGTTAAAGAAAAGAAACCAAACATCTATTTGACAATATCACTGCAATTTCCAGAGCTGTTTTGCCAAAATAAACCCTCTCAGAAAACAAGAACCAACTTGTTCTGTTGGTTCTGACTGAGCCCAAAGATATCTTTATGCCGAAATGACTACCAGCTTAGAAGGTACAGGGGGCATTCAGTATTTGCTAAAGTCTTGTACAAACAGAGCCCTGAGTTTCTAATTACCAACCTGCTTGACCTGCAGACCATGACTCCAGATTCTTTCTAGCAGATCACAGAGACTAGCAATCAATGTGTTTTCCTCCAGTCCTGTAATATTGGCTTCTCCATGTCCCAGCTCAACTGCTTCGTGGCCCATTTTCTCTACCAGCATACGTTTAGTCTAAGAAATAAGGAAAATAATAATAATAAAAATCTAAAAGGCTTATAAAAATGTTACTTCCAAGGGACAGAATTTATAAATCACTTTACTAAAACATTCTTGCAGTAGGCAATATAGAGACCATAGCTAATTGCCTGGCTTGAGAAATCTCAAATCCCTTCTACAGAGACTGTGAATTAAAAAAGAATAATTAAAATAACACATTTGTATTATTAATCCATATTGCCCTGTTTCTATCGCATTTATCTGTTGTCCTATTCCTACATTGCTGATTTATTACTGGCCACTATCAGACAGAACACAGAGCTATATATTTTCAGTCTTATTTAGTATCTGCTGTTGTTCTTGTCATGGGAAACAAAGCTTAAAATTCAGGTAATGCATTATACCACCAACTGTGACTGTCAAAAGAAATTATATTTCAACGGATATGAAAGCTTCTTTAATATTAGAAACTGGTATACTACGTTAGTTCTGCATAAGTAACATGCACAATTTGCACATGCTGAACATATCCCTCTGACATAGAGTCTCAACCTCATTATGTTTAGGCTACCTTTAAATATCAACAATTAAAGGAAATCCTCCCTAAGATATCTGATCATCCTGATTCTCCTTCCTGTTCTTTTTACTCTTCCCATCAATTCTGACTGCATAAACGGAAGAGTGATAACACATTTTTTTCTTTTTTTTAGCAGATGAGAAATATATAACACAAAAGAATATCCACCTTGTAAGCAGCCCGTTAAACCAACAGACCAACACTGTTTCAGCTGTGAAGGACTTTCAGGATACAACCTGCAGATGCTATTTACGTTCAGCATAAGCAACTGGATGAGAGAGCAGAGAGAGAGGGGAGGATGTACCTTCATGCGACATTCCTTCAGCAACCCTTCCACAAATTTCGAGTTGGTCTGAGCAATCACAGCCGGAGAGAGGTCCGAGAGTTTGGGCTGCCTCAGATTTTTTCCTAAACTCCTCGCCTCCTGCATGTATTTCTAAAAATAAACAGAATAATTTTAGATATTACAAGTTGGAGAGATTCTCCTCATCCTAATCCTAGGCAAGCAGATGCTGGTGAAAAGGAATGAGCTACTGTTAATCTAGTAACAACAACATGATTTGTCTGATGCTTAAGTGTTGGGCTGGAGAAGTGGAACATTCCCTTATGACAACAGGAAAAGCAATATATTTTCCAGTGTAGAACTGAACAATCAGTGTTGTCTGGTGAACTGTGCTGTTAGCCACTAACACAAAGTTAGGCACACCAAGTGTATAAAAGCGTGATACCTTCATCCAGCAACAAAGCCAAAGTACCAAGCAAAATGTTTTTCCATTGTTATTTGATCTTCACTAATAAATAAATTTAAAGCTATTTGGTTAATTTGTTGACTAGACTGTACAGGAATGGAAGAAAACCTTCGAAAAGAAGCAGAAATGAACCTAGTCAAGGAGAAAAATTTATCCCATTACTTTGCATTTGGATAGTTCATGTGGGAAAAATTAGACTTGATTTTATTCTCAATTAACTTCTTAATTACAACTGAAGCTCATTTTAAGTAAAACTGACATTTAGCATCATTCTTCTTTTTACTGTGGGGGTTGTAACGGAGAAGTATGGACAAAAAAAATGTCATGCTCTTTAAAATAAGATCCAAGCTATAATTAAAGACTTTTAAACCTTTTTGCTCCACTGCCTTGTTGTTCTGGAGTTGGGTTTCGTTTGTTTGCTTGTTGAACAAAAAACCCAAGCCCATCAAGAAGTGTCATCTCCCCCTACCATCAGTGAGAGGACCAGATGCTGAGCAAAGCTAAGAAGTTGGCCACATTTAGGTGTGCAAGTGGGAAGTTCATCAAAAGGTCATCTGAACACTATCAGTAGTTTCTGTTAATAAAATAATAGGATGTTGCCAAATAAAATAGTCTTGAAACATTGTGCTCAAAGCCTGATGTTGAAATGCTCAACTTTTGTGCAAGACCTGTGAATTTCCAAATGTCTTTATCACGTTAAAGCTGCCTCTCTGGGGAGATGGTGGGTGACAACAACCATTTGTTCTTCCCCCAAAAGGACAAGAACCACTTCACATCAGTCTTACAGGTCGGACAAGAAAGAAGGGTTCTATCACAGAAGTTGTGATCAGTTAGTTAGTTAAGTGCTCAGCTAAGTAATTACAGTTCCACTGATACTGTAAGGACATGGAAATAGTTGAAAAACGATATGGGAATAAAAATCATAGCTGATGAAAGCACGTTATTCAGCAAGCAATCTCATAAGTGACTTCCATCTAATTCAATGCAAAAATTAGCAGTGAGAACAGTGAAAAAGTAATACAGGGAATATGTAAATAGAAAATCTAATGTTTCTTTCTAAGGGCAAAGGGATAAACAAAACGCAAAGTGCGGTTATAGTCTGAAGAGTACAAAAAAAAAGATAACCTCATTTTATTCATAGAATGTCTTGTTATTAAAAAAAAAGAAATCAATAAACTTTCATGAGTTCAACAAAAGAATGAATATGAGATGAGAGGACCAACAGAATGCTCTCTGCCTGTTCGACACACACCACCACCTTCCTCCATGTTGGGATGTGAAGACTCAGCAGTCAAAACAATGCTTTTTGGATTTGACATCCTAAGCTAATTGCCAGCTGAGCAACACAGGAAAAAAGGAAGCAAAGCAAAATCCCCATCTTTTGGTCTCAGAACTGTCATGTTTGCCAGGGAGTTGGCAAACATGGAAGCCAAGAGCTGTTTTCCAGCTACTTTTCTGATTATAACCACACTTCCAAGCACTTCAGGGATGTGATCCTACTCTATGAGAAAAGGAGAGGTTTGGGATGCAGCACAGACAGTGGTTCCTTACACTACAACCTCAAATGCAGCTTTCAACAAGAAAAACTAAAACGTACCAGGCAGCATTCAGAGAAGGATTTTTTAGGAGGCCGTGCAGGAGGGGGCGGCCCCTGGTCCCACTCCCAGAAGGCCATTGAGTTCTGGCGAAGCAAAAGCTCCTCCGAGGGCTAAGAGGAGACAGATGCCCCGATGGCAGAATAGCCAGAAAGAGAAACAAAGCAAAAGAAGCATGCATATGATCCACAGCCGAAAAGAAGAAAGTAAATACATGACAAAGTACTGAAAAGGCTCTGCTGAGATAAACTCACAAGGCAAAGTTTCAAATATACTTGCAAAGTCATCCTAGCAGAAATGACAGCAAACATCCACAAATGCTGTTTTGCTGTGTTTCCATGAAACACCAGAGGAAGCTGCGATTCAGGAGTCAGTTGTTATTTGAGTTTTATAGTGCAAATGCCAACACTGGTCAGCATTATTCAGCAAGCCTTACTGCAAAACAGCACAAATGTTATAGTTTTGCTAATGACATATGAAAGAAGCACATGGGTATCAGTGGAAAAATATGGCAGAAAATATTTAATGAATGACATGAAACTGAAAAGATGGGACAGAAATGCATGCATGCGACTGACATTTACAAGATGTGTGGGAGTGCCCAAGCTTCAGGCCCAAAAAGGACCCTGAAGTCTTAACCTTTCAAATAGGCTTACTCCTGTCAGTAACTTACGTAAAGGCTAAAAAAAAAAAAAAACAGAAAAAAATCCTTGAAAAAAGAAAAAAAAGGAGTCCTGCCTCACTCACTGACATTTATTCAGGAACTTGGCTTTTCCAGAGACCTTTACCCTGGGCAGAGCTCACAGCTGCACCGAGACAGGCATCAGAGCTCTGCTCTCCCTGTGCAGTTATACAACAGGGGTCTATATCAGCAAACAGACCATTTTCCTGATGACAAAGGGACTGTTTTATTCCAAAAGAATGGAAGCGTATCATCTGTGCTGTGTGCTTTGAAGTTGTACAGCATACATAAACATTGGCAATGAGCAGCACTTAAATAGCAAGAGACCTACACAAACCTTGAGGTAGCAACAGTATTGCCTGAAGCCCAAACGTTACCTTGGGGATGAACATCTCGTGCCACTCACTGATGCCACCTACCTCCCTCAAGTCATTGTCCAGCCCGATGTGTTCTGAGTGCTGCCGGAGGCGATCTTTCCTCCGCTGTGTGGTGGCACTGCGACTGGCCCAGCGGCTGGGAAGGCAGAGAGAGAGAGGAGACGTGAGTGGAATGAGTGGGAAGGGAACACCACTTCTCCCACTTGGGGAGAAGAGACAGTGCAAACTTGGATGCTGCAATGGATGTTGGTGCAAGCTGGTGTCCCCAGTCCCTGTGGGAAACCACAGGGTGGATGACGGGCCACCACTCAACCCTGTGACCTGCTGGAGACCTGCCTGCTGCCTGCTAGCGTGCTCATAGTTGACTGCAAGTGGAACATTCCCTACCACAGATTCCCCTTGCAGCACTGGTGCCAACACTAGGGAAATGGCTGTTTAGTCCCCTGCAATGCCCTTTTTTGTTGTATTTGCTAAGATTTGACAGAAACTGTCTGTATGAACAAACAAAATGTTTTGAGTAACAGCTTCTAAAGTGTTTCTTCTCTTGTGAGGTTTCTGTGGTACTTCCACAGCAGGAAATAATCCAGAGAACCTTGTCACCATGATTGTAAAGATGAGAGGGAATAGCCTCAAGGTGCACCAACGAATGTTCAGGTTGAGTATTAGGAAAAACTTGTCAGAAGGAGTTGTGCTGCAGTGGCACAGGCTGCCCAAGGAGGTGGTGGAGTCACCATTTCTGGAGGTGTTCAGTAACCGTGTGGATGTGGCACTGAGGGACGTGGGCAGTGAGCAGGATGGGGATGAGCTGATGGTTGGACTAGGTGAGCTTAGAGGTCTTTTCCAACCTTAGTGATTCTATGACTCTGTGATTCCACTATGATACTGGGAGCACCTATGTCTAAAGGATTTAAAGAGAACTGACATTCCTGGGATTAATCATGTTGCTGCCTTCACCGTGCCTGTTTTTTTTTTTGTTGTTTTTTTTTTGGTTTTATTTTCCCATGAGATTTCTAAATAGTGCACAAAAATTCTATTTTTGCTATGTCTTAGTTTATGTCCAATTCATTTTTTTTTTCTCATCTTAAGCTATTGTTTAAAGCAGATACTTGGTAACCAGTTTATAAACTGAGCAACCTTAGGATTCCCAAATGTCCAAGCTTCCTTATGCCAGACAATGTAACAAAAACCAAGATAACACTGTGCCAATGAATTTACAATCTCAAGCGATTGCTGGGTTTCTAAAAATATCATAGCATTCTGTCAAATCCTTGAAACAAAAATGTTCAACTAGTGCAGAAAATAAATAAGCTAATACATTATTTATAGATGAAAACCAAAATAACATGATATAACCTATCAAGCACTAAAAATAAGCACACAAATGCTACATGTTCAGAATAATGACTGTGGTTGCATTTATTAAAATAAAACATATTTTCAAATATAGTGAAAATAATAACAGCCTTTAAGCTCTTCAGCCTGCTCACAAAGACCCTGTGCTCAGAAGTTCCAGAGAGAAAAACAGCGCGTACTCATGGAGCCTCTCCACACAGGAGACCCCTAATCCACCCATTTCCATGTGCATCCCAAATAAGGGCATATGCAAGAAGGATCTGAGACCTGAGCTACCCAGGCAAGGCTTCTGTCTAGCAACACATATGTGGGTGTAAAAACCTGGAGGAAGAAGTCCTTGCCTGGAGCTGGTCTTGGGTTGTGACATGGCTGACAAGGCCCTGGAGGCACAGCAGAGCAACCTGGCCCATGGGAAATCCATGCTTGACCCCTGGTCATCTGAGCCCTGCTGCTTCCAAACAACAAGGCATGTGCCTAACTATCCCCACCAATTGCTCTAGTGAGGCAATCGAAGACCACATTTTGGCTGACTGGGTCAAAAAAGCTTAAAAAATAAAATAAAAAATAGGAACTGACATTTTTATGGTCAGAAATAAAGTGTCTTTCCACTTTCCAAATACCATCAAGAAAACAAGTACAGAGTAAGAAATAAACATCTGGGTCTGCATGTAATTATGGTTCAGCTCTTCACCAACCCATATGACAAGGAATTTATTTTTAGAGCCCTGTAGCCTCAAGTCTCTGGTAACTAAATAGGTGTCTGAACAGGAGACATTTATACCTTCTCAGAGGAATGCACTGCTGACATAAGTGTCTTTTCACCTCCTCAGAAATCTTAAAAATATGCAGCCTACGACTTTAATTAATCATCACTTTTTTTTTTTTTTTTTGTAAAAGAAACACCCAACGCCTTATTAGATGCCTGAGAGTGGAAGATAACTGCTTTTCGTTCATCTCAGCAAGTTGAAATATAACAAAAACTCAACACCCAGAAACAGAGGATAGCAGATGCAGAATTGACTTTGTTTACCTGGCTCTAGATACCTTCCATTTAATGTTAGTTAATACCATGCTTACATTTCAGATCATAGAATTTTGATAATTGAAATTTATGTTATAAATCATATACCATCTATTATCACATTTTTCTGCTCTGATTCATATTATGCATTCTGATTTGATCCCTTTCCAGCAGCTTTCCTGCTGTTACGGAACGATTTAAGAACTGCTATGACGTCCTTTGAGAGAACACGTCTCACTGAAGGTGAAGGCAGAACAAAACCTACAGAATAATTACGAGTAATGCACCATCATTAAAGCATTTTTAGTTAATTCCTGCCGGCTGGGAGAGCGCACAGAACATTCTCCAGATTATTAGTCAGAACTGTTTGAACATTTTCAGCATACAAGCGGAAAGATCATTAGCCCTTTATGAAGAAGTGATGGCTACTCATTAGGTGGGGCAATGACACGTATGGCGAGCTGCATGTCCCCGTGTCCCCAAGCACCAGGTGAGGGAAGGGAAGCTACTGGGTACTGAGTAAGGTCTGTGCACTCGGATGCTGCTCTGAATCTCTCCGGGAGATTTGGTGAAGATCTAACAGCAGATAAGCAGCATTAAGCAGCTAAATCTTTTAAAGCCTTTTCTTTACTGGGCCACACAGAATTTTCCGGAAATAATGCTTAAATATCAAAAGAACCACTCGCTCTGCCCCTCATCAGCACAGATCACACTTTATATTACTCCTCCTCACCCTTCAGCCACTCCAAGTATTCCGAAAGGAAGCCCTCACCACCTCCTCTAGGGCTGCTGAAATCCCATGTGAGGTATTTCAGTTATTCCCTGCAGCAAAGGTGTTGTTCCAAGCACCAGCTCAGGTGCTGTGGCGCATGCTGCCTACATGGAGCAGGGAGAGAAAGCTCTTTCTGGCAGTCTGTCCTTATCTCCTGATGCCCGTATCCAAAGATAAACATGCTTCACCTTCAGGGACTGTGAAAAAGGAGTGCTGTTTAGAAGAGGGATGTGGGAAGACTGCGTGCTGTTTAATACAGAGAAATAAAACAAAAGGCTCTTCAACAAGAAGAGCCTTCAATATGAAGGCTGTAAGGTCAACAGTGAAATCAGTATTGTTTGATGCCAAATTAGACCCAACAAGCATAGTAGCAGGTTTACAAGGGGTGGAGGATCTGTAAAGATGGCACTTGTACACACCACTTAACCTGTGATGCTTGATTTCTGTAATAAATGGAAATACAGTCAGCATCAAAGTGGAACTGTCAGAAACCAGTCTAGCAAAACAGCAGCCTGGACGTGCTGAGCTGCAACCGTGCGTTCATCTCTCCATCTCCTGCTACCCCATACCCCCCCACATTCTAAAGGCTGTCTAGGCACATTATGTGAGACGAAGTGATTGTGAAGGGTGGCACCCACACTACAATCTTCTGCAAGCAAAAGTGGGAACAATCAGCCAGGGTCACCCTCAGACCTGATCAGCCACTGCCCAAAGTGTACGCTGGTTGCAAACTTGAGACAGCAGCACTGCCCAGGGGAGAGGAACAGTAAAGAGATGAGAGGTACAGGGTTTGGCACACATATTTCCCTGTAAACTTTAAGTCTGCATAGTTATCATAAAATGATACATTAACTGAAAGAAATTAATTGTTCTTTTACTGCCTCACACAGGTTGAGCCAAGAATCAGCATGCAAAAAAGCACCCGTTCAGTTCTAAGTTCCCACAGCACAGTTCCTATTTCAGAAACTGTTTTTAAGCACAGATTGTCAAAGCTGTTCACATTTTGTTCTCAAAAATGAATGTATTTGAACACAAGCAGTTAGCATTTCCACTGCACCTGTGATGCATCGGTGATGCTCCATTAGGTTACCCAATGTATAGTAGCCACTTGTTACAGATATTCAAACTTAAAAGTTGAGCTTCTACTACTGGCCAGCTTTAAATAACATCAGTGTTGTGTGTGGATGGCTCGGTGCTGACTCACGTCTTACTCATTGAGATGCACTGCAGAGATGCTCCTCTCTGCCATTTGAAAGTACAATCGTCTGGCTTGACTTAAGAAAAATAAAAGCTTCATTAATGACTCCCAGACTTAAAACAACAGCCAGCATGTAGGGAGGTAGAAAAAGCATGTACAATACAGAACACTCACTGCAAGGCACACAGATTATTTGTCATACAAAAAATAACTTACTTAAGGCCTGAACGAATTCTACCATCATATAGAGATTCAGCAAAGTTGAATGGTGATGGAAGCTACAGGGCTGCACCCATATGAGTAACACTATCACCTGAACAGGTGATGGACCTATCAGAAGAGGGGTGGCAGCAGGGACAGGGAGGTGATCTCTCTCTCTACTCTGCCCTTGTGAGGCCTATCTGGAGTACTGTGTCCAGGTCTGGGGCTCCCAATAAAGAAAGACATGGAGCTGTTGGAGAGGGTCCAGAGGAGAGCCACAAAGATGATCAGAGGGCTGAAGCACCTCCCCTACAAAGGCAGGCAGAAGGAGCTGGGCTTGTTCAGCCTGGAGAAAAGAAGGCTGCGCAGTGACCTCATTGCAGCATTTCAGTTCCTAAAGGGAGCCTACAAGCAGGAGGGGAGTCAACTCTTTGAAAGGGTAGATAAGAGTAGGACAAGGGGAAATGGTTTTAAGTTGAGGGAGGGAAGATTTAGGTTGGACAGGGGGAAGTTCTTTACTGAGAGAGTGGTGAGGTGCTGGAACAGGCTGCCCAGAGAGGCTGTGGATGCCCCATTACTGGAAGTGTTCAAGGCCAGATTGGATGGGGCCATGGGCAGCCTGGTCTAGTATTAAAAGTGGAAGTTGGTGGCTCTGCCTGTGGTAGGGGGGTTGGAGCTTCATGATCCTTGAGGTTTCTTCCAACCCAGGCCATTCTGTGATTCTGTGGTATGTGGCTTTTACAGATAAATACTGACACAGCCATGAAGTCAGCAAAACACAGCACAGGGACAAAAACTTGGAGAAAGCAATCATATATTCTGAAATCTATACTATGGATAACATATTACATGTGTAATTCCTGAGGTTAGGAGGCCAACTCCAGAGGGATTTCTGCTTGAAGACTTGTGTTGTGTCATCTTTTGAGGATTGCTGCAGGTAACAAGGGACACAGAGGACAGATAAAAGCACTAAGTTCACAGGATGCCAGAGAACAAAGGGAAAGGACTCAGAAGAGGGATGTGGCCAAGAAAGGGAAAATGCACAGGGCATGGATAAAGAAGACGGAAAAAATGAGCTAAAATGAAGAGGAAGGCCCAAAAAAAAAAAAAAAAAAAGATAATTTAAGACATTTTGTAATACTGTAACAAAGCAAAACCTTCATAAAAGAAAGGAAGGAAGGAAGGAAGGAAAGGAAGGAAGGAAAGGAAGGAAGGAAAGGAAGGAAGGAAGGAAGGAAGGAAGGAAGGAAGGAAGGAAGGAAGGAAGGAAGGAAGGAAGGAAGGAAGGAAAGAAAGAAAAAGAAAGAAAGAAAGAAAGAAAGAAAGAAAGAAAGAAAGAAAGAAAGAAAGAAAGAAAGAAAGAAAGAACAAGAAGTTCAGGAAAAAATCATTTCAGTTGCTCTCTGCGAGCATTTGCTACAAATTGCCAGCATGCTAATATACTCCCATGCTTGACATGCAATCAGTGTTTTCCTCTGCAATATTTAATCTCATTTATCAAGCTTCTTAGTACAAATTAAGTTACAATGTAATCAATTAGATTGAAAACACAGCTTGCTTCATTGTTCTAATTCTGCACTGTAAGCATATACACCATAATTTAACAATTAGCTAATCAAAAACCATGAAGTGTTTACTCCGCTTGCCTTTTTGTCATTCAAATTCCTTCCCTGAATCGTTGCAAATGTATCAGCCAGTGGAGTACCAGCTCCAATTTTAAAAGCCTGGCAGAAAATGCATGCAGGGAAGGAATAGGGGAAAACAGAAACCACAATATTGTGGTGCTGGTGTTCAAAAAAGGGAAGGATCACACTGGAAATGCTGCTCTTTTCTAGGCTAGCAGACAAACTGCCCAAATGATTGCAGCCTGTTTCCTCCCAGGATGCTTTCTAGGAAGACTTCTGCAAAAGTTGCTGCTTTAGGAGGCCACAGCATTGTGGACAGGATGTTGCTGAACCCAGAGGAAGCTGCAGATGCTGCCTGTGGATTTAGAAAAATTTCCCATGATGTGGGGGATGTATCAAAGGCAATGGGTGCAGAATGAGTCCCTCTAGCAGGACATTGATACCTGATGTGAAAACGGACCGAGTTCTGTTTTCTGTTTTTTTTCATTGTTTGTTTGTTTCCTTAATTGCGGTTGGCTGGGATGAAGTGCTCTTTTCCTTATTGAAAAATATATTTATTTAAACAAATATTGGGATACAGTAGTTACCACCTTTCAAAAAGTTAAGATCTACATATTCTGCAGTCGAAGTCTTTCCATGTTCTGTAAGTTCTGATAAAAAAAGATGGTTAGAAACGTATTTCTGGGAGCTTGTTCTTCAATTATATGGAGGGTTGCTGCTTTTTTTTGCTAACTTTTCATTTCTTTTCAGTAAGATTGAGTTTGGAGTTAATGTCAGTGAGGTTTCCACTCAGCTGAGCAAGACATTTCCTAACCAGCCAGGGAAAGAGGTACCCAACATCCCTAATGACACCAAGCAGGCACCAGCCGTCTGAATGAGCTGGCCAGAATGGTAGCTCATGCAACAGGAGCTGCCCTACCAACCTGCAAGTGAGCAAGCAGATAATGCTGGTTAGGGCTACAGGAGCACAGGTCCACCCCCCGTCCAGTTGTCTAAAGGACATCATGGCAGAAGAGGAGGCAATGACAGAAGTGGGGCAAATCACACTGCTGAGCATGGCCGCGGGCTGACAGATGAAACGTTATTAGACTTCATTTTATGACAGACCTCAATGTTTTAACTCTTCTACATGGTAATGTGACCAACATTTGTTCCCAGCTGCATTTAGGTGGAAGCGATCCAAGATGACTGCCAGCCCTCCCTCTGTTCCCAAGCCCTGCTTTCCATGGCCTACAAGCGAGAGCCAAACTCTTCCTCTTCCAAACAAAGTTTCCGCCTGTCCGAGCAACGGGTTGTCTGGGATCACATATAGGGCCTAGGACTAAAGGCACTAAAAATGTTTGTTCTGTGCATTATATTCCTGACTTTCATATAATCCGTTACACATAGAACAGCACAGTAACAGAGGTACCTTCAGCGCTCTGCCTTGATGCAGGAAGGGAAGACCTAGACAACATTATGAGCACACACGTTAACTCTAACTGAAGTGCATGGGGATACAGATGGAATGTTCTCTTCCCCCAAGCCCATACTCAAAGGCTGAGTTCTGTGTGCAAATATGACATATCCCCAAGAAGCACACACTGGGATATTCAAATTAATGGAAGGCTACAGTTCGATTGATTTTGTGGTCAAAAGAATTATGCTGTATTTGTGGAGAGCAGGAAAAGGCTATCTATTTTATCCGTGGGTGTAAATTCAGCAGAATTACATGTCTTAAATGAGAGAGAAAGAGAGTCCTCTCAGCTGCTCACATAAAATGCCAGGAAGCTGAAAGATGTAAACAGATGGTCTTGAGATTTTCCAATTACAAAGCTTTTTGGCAATATATGACTGGAGGAACTCCAAGCATTTGTCACTTTGACATCACTTTGCAGTAAGTAATGGGATTTTGGTATTTACAAATTCTGAAACATGCTGTAATTTGAAGAGCAGAACCTGCTACCTACATCAAAATTACCACTCAAGGAGTTAAACTCCCATTTTAGAGTAGGCACAAATCTAACAGAAGCATCTCAGAAGGTGCGAGAAGGCTGTTTTTAGTTTAATGATTATTCAATGAGAAATTCAATGAGATACTGTGACAGAGCCTGAACATATAAATGACTTTGAGGAGGCTGGGAATGCTCATGCTATCGCTGATACTCTAAAACTGAAACTTAGCATAAGGATAAAAGATAGACTGCTGCTAAACACAGCATCTCCCAGAAGCTGAAGATATCTTTGATTTCTCTAAAGAACATTACTTGTAAACTTCTTTCTTGGTTTGCAATGAGGCTACAAACAAAGAATCCTTTAATTTTTGTGGGTGTTAACTCAAAAACTAATTGCACTTCTTTAAACATTCAGTGCTCATGGATATCTTAATTTATGATTTGCAAGTCTTTCGTATAACAGGCTATTAAAATAGGATTAGCTAGCACTGGGGGGCACAAAAGGTATATAAATAGAACTGAGTGGGCACCTCACAGAGGAGCATGCTGTTTTCTGGAATGAGATAGCTTTCAAAATCTGAACAATCATAACTTCAGGAGCTCTTGGATTTATCTGTGCTCCATCTTGATGTAACATTGAAACTGGAAGTTAGGGCCTGAGCTTGTCAGTTTGTAAGTAGAAATCACTGATGCACAAATATTCAGGTTTTGAAGTAGGAGGGGAAATAATCTCCTTCCTGGGTTTTGGAGGAAGGAAAAGAAAGTAACTTAAAGCGCTTACTCTCCATTATATCTATATTAAAGTCATGTTGATTAGTTGCTACAGGTTCTCACTTTATATTAGTCAAATTAACTACATAATGATATGATTGATTCTACAGCTATAGGTATCCCCTACCTTCTGATCAAAGCACAGTACAGAACCTCACTGGATTCAGAAGAGTAACCCAGATGCAGAACCTCATACTCTCCATCCTCAAGGAGTTATTTTTTCCAGGTTATTTCAGTCTAGAAACTGAATGAGCTATAAAAATCTTTGGGGCATATAATGACAGGTAAAGGAAAAGAGAGGAACAGAGTGGACACTACTTTCATTCAGCATGTCAAAATTTCTTTCAGAAACTGAATTATTTATTGGGTTTCCAAATAATCCCCTTCAGTGCAAAATAGAAAACTAATTATAAATTTATTATGACAATGATAAAACTAAGAATATGTATGAGAAGACATGGTGTTTACTACTAAAACAGAAAATAGTACTTAGAAACCACCCAAAGTTTGGACTGCTGTCAATTGATGTGGATCTTTCAGAACAGAAACCTGCTTTCAAATTCAGAAAATAAGAAGCGCGCTTACTTGTTATTGGTAGGTCCTGTTGCTAAGACATCTGATTGCAGCTTTGGGAAAAATCCTTGTTCATATTTCCCTTGGCCAATCTTCATATCAAGTAAATGCGGGTGGATGGCCGTGTGATCGATCTTCATCAGCCGCTGCTCAATGGACTGGGCTGTAAGTTAGACCCATATGTCAACAATCATGTTATCCAGCTACCCTAAGACTACAACAGAAGTAGGCACGCTCTCATCCCAAGTTAAGTCTCTAAGAAGTTAAACACTCATTTTAGTCCCTGAAATCTGTCGCTTACAAAAGTGTTACTGTGTTATTTGGGTTTTAGTTTCCATACCACACACCAGTGGTGCCGAGACAAACAAGTTAGCTGGTAGAGCTGGGGAATGGGATGTATTATTTGCTGACAAGGGCAGTGCAAGCTTCCCTGTAGCTTGGTGTTTGGCCTCATTGCCTCTCTGTGTGGACAGCTGGGGCCTGATGGGACAGGAGCAGCTCCCTGCGCGGGCTGGGCACCTCACTTGGCCAGAGAAATGCTTCCTTGGACAGACATGCTGGGGCGATACCAGAATTTAACAAACGCCTGGCACTAAAACTATCCTTCTCCTGAGAGAGGAGGTGCCAGCACTGATGACAGGCCTTCAAAAAGCAGGACAGCTAGCAAGGCCTGAGGGATGAGCAGGGCAAGGGAGCTGAGCAGACATTTGGACAGGCCAGAGGCTATGAAAAGGGCAGAGAGGGCTCCATGGAAACCCCTCTGAGGCCAGCAGAGTTTTGTCATGATGTGGCCTGAGGGTTTCACCTCAGCTCTCTGGCAGAATGCAAATCAAACCCATCAGCCTCTCAACACTGTGTCAGAAGAGCTTCTAACAGAGTGGGGAGAGGGGGTGAGTGGGGGAGATCTGCAGTGAATTAACAACTTCAGTATTCAGCTCTCTCAGCCCATCCATTAATGGGCAGAGCCATTCTTTCAGCATGTCATGACTGTGAATATAAATGCAAGATGGGGAAGCTAAATCCATTTTCCATTTGTCAAGAACAACAAAGAATTCATTTCCTATTTTATACAACTGTGACCGAGAAGAAACTGTCATAAGATTTACACACATTATCATCAGAAACTCAGGAGCTTTTCTCCTCCTAAGAAAAGTCTCTCTGCATGGTTTTATTTTGGAGATAAGGACTGGGTAGTGAGGGACAGAGGGTTTGGGGGGGTTTCAAAAACAGTGGGTTAAACAAACGAGTGCTGATGCTGGGCTCATGTGTGCCTGAGTGGTAAATATGAAATAAACTGGCATTACTATCAGCTTGCTGCATTTCAAGAGACAGAAAATGAGGCTCCGGTGCCACAATATCTACCAAAACTAGACGCCGAATAGACAGGCAACCTGCAAATTAGAATTGTTTTTAAAGAGAAAGGGTTAATCAAAGATAGAATTTCTTTCACATATGTAACAGGCAAGATGTTCTCAATAAATCAGAAAATGAACAAAAAAACCCAAAAGAAATGCGCTTGCCTCAGCTCATTAATTTGTGTCCCAATGAATTGTAGAGTAAAATTTTTCTGCATTACTTGGAAATTAAATAAAGACTCACACAGTAAGAAACTGGAGTATAATTTGAAAAATGTGTCCTGTGAGTATAGCAGCACACAGTATGTCGTTTGCTAACACTGAACATCTATTGCAGGAGCCACAAAATGTGCCATGTACAATTATGTCCCCAACACCCCCTGCTGCTCTAGTCAAATGGCCTAAGCCAAAAATTGTCCTTTTTATGGAAAGGGGGAGATGAGGTGCCAAGGCTTGGTGTGGCTGGTGCTGGTCCCACTTGTGCAGTAAAGGGAAGCCCTGCCATGGACAGACGTGAGCTGCCTGGAAGGGGATGAAGTGAGCTTCCTCCTGGGACTTGGCTGGGATTATTAAATGCACAAAGGGGCTTGAAGGAAAGACGGGGGCTTCTGGTGTCTTTAGTGTGTAAAAGCCCACTGAAGATTTTGCCTAAGGAAATAATGACATTGAAGAGTGCTGCTCAGGCAGCTTGAAGTTCAGCACTCAGATGACTGAGGACCTGTATCTCCTTGTGGCTGACACTGTACTTATTTATTCGCCATCTGAACTTACCTGCTTCCTTCAGAGTGCTGCATTTCTGATAATTGGATGTCCGCAGTGCAGGGGCCCTTACATTATATAGCCTTATTTTCTCAATTCGAGAGTCAAAAACTCGCAGAAAAGGGTCCTTCTCTTCCCACTGGGAAATTATCTTGTTGTCTATGAAGGTTGCAAACATCTGTGTCTCAATGAAGTGCGATAGGAATGGGAGGTAAGGCTCAGGTTGGTCCGAGAGGAAGGAAGCCTGAAATACAGAGCAGAGCATCAGTGCCACACTCATGCCATGCCTTGACATTTTGAGCTATCCTACAGCGAACTGGTGCAGCAGCCATCAGGGAGGCTTGAGCAAGGCTTCCCCACCACAAAAACACCCCTCAGAGAGGATGGAATACAGCTACAGAAGTGTTTGTCTCATGCATCACCCCTTTGGTCACTACTGTGAGGAAGGAGCTTTGGGACAGCTCAGGTAGTTGGAATACAGAGCTGCTGAAGGAGTACCTGTGCTGCCAGCTTTTTCAAAGAAGTCTGATGGCCACTGCCTACAGGTTTCAACCATACACAACCTGTCTGTGCCTCTGGTCTGCACATACCTGCTTGCTCACAGAGCTGCCATGTGTATATGGAGGTGCTCAATGCAATTCAGCTCATGTTCTTTTGTGAAATTAAATGGGGGAATTATTCTTGAAATTCCAATTAAAATTGAGCGTGTGCCTAAATCTCTTGAGTTTTGAAAACTCTCACCTTAAAAGCCCACTTTATTGTACAAGTACTAGCAGAGCCTGCATAAACAAATTCCTGCTTCTGAATGCTACTCTGCTCAACACCTAAGTACAAACAACACCAAGAAAAGATATGGCAGCTTTTCTTTATTTTTTTTCAATGGTCAAAAGCTGACTGAAATCAATATTTAGTCTATTCCTCACCATTTATCCCTCTGACATTCTCCTTAGAGTAGGACTTGTACCTATAAAAGCTGATAGCTAAAAGCATTATCTACTTTGAAAAATCATTCAGAAATAATAATTGTGCAAAAATTCCTCATTCCTTGCTAACTCACAGTCTACTTATTTCCCCATTTCTGATCTCACCTGTTTTTTCACTCTTGTGTACGCACTGTAGTGAAGCCATAACAGTACTCTACTGACATAATAACATGATAACCTTCTGCAGAACTAGACTACATGTTAACAAAAAGCCCTACTGTGCGATTAGGAAACAAGAAACACAGAAAAGTGGATTCTCTATTTGTCTTCTGTGTGTGCCTCTGCTATCAACAAAGGAAAAGAAAAGGAAAAAAGAGTTGCTTTTCCATTGCTGCTGTTCAGAAAACCCACAGGACAGCCCCATCAGCCAGGCAGCAGGGCTGGTACCCACCAGGACAGCTTGAGTGGCTCAGTGGACCCACACCAATTTACTTTGGCAGACAGCCTGGTACCGTGTAATCAAAGCAAATGAATCTCTCGAGGAGGCAGACAAAGAAAGGAGGATTAAAGAGTATCTAGGCTACATATACTTAATATAGCTATTGTCCCACACTTCCCAAAAGCACTTTCAGGTGTCAAAATAAATACAGAGCAATCTTTACTTTGTCGAAGTTCTGCATTTGTTCCCTGTTGGTCAGCCACGACTCCAGATCGGGGGCAGCCTGGATGACGAATGCCTCGTAGTCTGCAAATAGTTGTGTGAAGCGGTTGGCAAACACCTCACGGAGCTGCACGTTCAGTTTGTAATCCCTCAGCTCCACTTCCTCACACTGCAACTTTATATCCTTCTCTTTTTCTGCAAGTGGAGCTGTGATGGTCATCTTCTCCATTGTCACCCCCGTCCTCTTGGCAAGAGCTTGCAGGCGGGCGATGGTTTCGTTGCCTTTCAGCAGCTCGTACATGTTGAGGGCATTGCTAGGGATGTTCCCATTCTTTTTGTCGTTCACCAAGTCACTAAGGACCAGGTTCTTGAGTTTGGTGGCACTGTCACTGCAGTGCAGGTTGCCCTCCGGAGGGATCCCAAACTGCAGGAGGACCTCGGAGATTTCCTGGATGAACTCCAGCTTGTTGGGAAACTGGGGGAATTCCTCTGGCAGCTCGATGAAATGGTTATCAATGTCCACGAAGCACAAGTTTGCCTGAAACAAGAAGAAGGGTTATGAAATAGACATTCAGCACTGAATTTGCTTCTCTAAGTAGTCCTGTTTCCCCAGAAGGTTTCCAGTCAGAGGGTAAGAGCACATATTTGCGAGAGACCTAGTGTATCTGAAATCACTAAGAGTGACTTCAGTAAAGTTGAGGACCAAGTGGATGACAGTGATTTAATATTTGAGTAAAGCCTCCTTGGTTCATTCTCCTGGGATTCACAGATCCTAAGCTTGCTGTTGCAAAGCCTCCACATCCCCTCCCAGGACAGCTAGGGGTGTAGCAGCAGTTGGGATGCGCAGCACCACTTCCCAGCTTGTGTAAGCATCCCAAGGCTGTGTTCATTTTTTTATCAGGAGCCTCTGTAGGAATCTCTGTAGTTACTGAGGAACAAGGATTTAACCAAGAAAGATGATGATGGAGTGACGATACACAAGAGGGTCCCATGCAAATCCTTAAATCCTTTGGGGTCATAGAATCATAGCATCATAGAATGGCCTGGGTTGAAAAGAATCTCAAAGATCATCTAGTTTCAACCCCCTGCTATGTGCAGGGTCGCCAACCACCAGACCAGGCTGCCCAGAGCCACATCCAGCCTGGCCTTGAATGCCTCCAGGGATGGGGCATCCACAACCTCCTTGGGCAACCTGTTCCAGTGTGTCACCACCCTCTGAGTGAAAAAATCATGATAAAGATCATGCCTGACTACACCCTGTTCAAGTGGGACCAAGCCCAATTTCCCCACACCCCTCATCCCTCTGCTTCTAGCTTTTAATCTTGGAAACTGCTCAGCCTGAGATATAAACAGAATGCTCTCAGACAGCTTTTCTGTGCATGGAGATGGATCTCAGCCCATAAGATTAAAGCTAAGTGGAGACATGAATTTAGCAGAGCAGATTCAAGCAGTCAGGGGGGAGGGAAGCACCCTACATAAAAATTAATTACATTGCAAGTGCACCCTTAGGAATAATAGCAGGAGGAAAATCTGTAACTGATCTTCTGAACTGTGGCTTACATCTGAAATTCACTGAGTGCACCATGCTGAGTAAAATGTTAAAGCGACTCAGATTCCCAGGGAACTGAGCTCTGATGGGTTTCACCCCAGCTGCAGGCACTGGCGGGGCAGCAGGAACAGGTCTGTGTTAGTCTGACTCAGCCACTGCCCCGGCTCCTCTGGCTTCTCTAAGGCACGTTGCCTGCTTTCTGCTTCTCACAAAACCCTGCAGGATAACCTGCAGATTTTGTGAATGGAAAGGATTTGTTTTCCTCCTTTTCTGAAAAAGTTAATTTTCAACAGGGCAATATATTCCATGGCAAACACAGTTATAATGTTTTGCATATTTCAGGGATGTGTTTGACATTCATAGCACTTTGCATGAATACTTAAGGGGTATTAGGATTCATTTGGCATAAGTGTCCCTTCAGCTTAGTTTTTCATACAAAATTAGGACTGTACAAAGAAAAGCATTCCTTCATACAAAACAATTTGCTTTACTTAACTGCACAGCCATTAAAGAATTGCGGATGTGTCGCTCCTGTTCCTTAGCTCAGGGACTGCCTTCTTATCTACATCAATATTTCATTTCAAAGGCTTTTTAATTTCAGCTCTGCATATCATTTACAAAATTTGAAAAATGAGACTCGGATTCAGAAAACCCTTGGGGAATTGGTGTCACTTCTTTCTTCAGAAACATCTGATGATTAAAGTTAATGCAGAGAGATTAGTAACCTTAAGACAGCACGATGGCCAGTTGTTAGAATTTTTATCTCTGACATACAAATGTTTTATATTTAGACCGAGAGCTTGACAAGCCAGCCTCTGGCCTGACGAATAAAGGATTGATAAAGCAAACAGTGCTTCATCATGGCTTGTATGTTGAAGGATTATTTTTTAATTGTCTAGAGGAATTCAAGATTCAAGATTTCCCCAATCAATATGTCTCCTTTTCTTCTCCCACATTTACTGGACCTATGATTTCCGTAAATGCTGGACTGTTCTTTTTTACCCAATTATTAAACATTGTCACAGGGTGCTTCTTCACGCCCCGCACTTACTTACTGTTCTCTCACTGGAAATATTCAATTTGTTATTCTGGTGATACTGCAAGCCTTAAATTCTAATTTAAGGAAAATGACAGCTTAATCTGCTAACTAAAAGCACATGACTAATAACTTAATACAGTAATTACGTAACATTAACATGGTTTTACTAAAAAGCATAGCTAGATACCAGCTTCATTTCCAAGGCTGTATAAATTTCATGTAATTGGGCCACTGCATTGAAGAGGTAAGATCTGATTTGTATTGTTACATGCTACCTAAGCCAAAAATCTGTCATCTCCACCCAACACCTGAAATAAACCTTAATTAAAAACCACATTACCTTTGCTCTGTGTTTATCCAACTTCCACACATAAGCTCACCCTCTTGCACATACTCCTTTGCTGATGCTCCCACTGCCCGCTCAGTAGGATTGCCCATTGCAAGCTCCTGCTTCCAGGAGAGGTCCCTGCACAAAGTTGGGTGCTGCAGTGCTGAAGATGTGAGATGTTGCAGCCATGCAAGATGTTACTCTTAGTGTTCTCCCTCATTTTAAGAAGAAACCCAAGTTAAAAGATACAGCTTGCTCAAGAGATGGACCCTAAAGCAGTCACCATTTGGAAGATGGAGCAGGCTAGCAATATCCCAGAGATTTTGCAGTGGTCAAGTTAAAACAAGAAGCAGTTTTGAACACTGTAGTCAAATTCCATGTAGGAAAATCTCCATTTCACTCTACCACCAGTGACCTCAACACAGTCAGTCAGAGGACAACCTCTCCTTGTTTTGTTTATTTTTTTCCTCTAGGGAAAGAGTGGTAGACAAGAAGATCTTATTCCAAAAAGACATTGCTGGAGTGAGCTTCTATGTGGGTCACAGACACAATATTACTGCAACTTTGGTTTACTTGAGGCCAGGAAACTGGTCTGGTAGTAGACCTTGACCCAGTCTGGAATGCGTGGGCTTACATGTGGGTGGGACAAGGCGGTATAATTGCGGGTACAAAACAGGACATGTTTGTTGAAAGGCTGACAGGGAAAACTTCATTGCTTCTAGCTATTGCACCTGAGAACCACTTTCATAAAGACCATCCCAAATGAAATGCTCCTTAGCTCTGGGCCAATAGAACTGTGACATAAACAAAGAATAACAAAACACGGTGAAGTGAGTGATGTAGGGCCAGTAGAGAAACTTGTCACAGAAAGAAACAGAAGAATTTAGAAGCCATGATTAGCTGCACCTGCTAAATTCAGAAGCACACAAAGCAACAGCATGGAGCTGTGTCAGGAGTGAGGCAGCTGGGTGTTAGGAAAAGTTTCTGCACCAGAGGGTGGTGAGCATGGAACAGGCTGCCCTGTGGGCATGTGGGGGCAGTGGGCATGGCCTCAAGCAGCTGCAGTTCAAGAAGCATTTCGACTGCTGTCAGACTTAGGGCTTGATTTTGGGTAGTCCCATATGGATCTGGACACGGTGGTCTTTGTGGGTCCCTTCCAACTTGGGAAATTCTATGATTCTATGAAGATAGAATCATATATAGAATAGAATTTCTCCCCTCCATTTCTCTCCTGTTGGAAAACAGAGCTTCTATGGAAAGTCTTCACAGTACCAGAGACACTTCCTAGCACAGGGCCTGGTATTTTCCAGCTGGGATTCACACAAACACCAGTTATGTGCTTCTGAGCAGCACCCCAAGTGCAAAGACCTACCTCCTGTGGCAGCTCCAGCTTGGAGCGGTCGGTTCCCTCCTTGGATTGCAGCCCCATCAGGTAGGGAACCGGAGCGTCCAGAAAATGCAGGAGGGAGGCAGGAAGGATGGGAACATACACGTGCTGCCACTGAAATGGGAACAGCAGCGTCGTGATCCCCTCTGCAACTGTCATCAGGCGCTGGTAATCTAGGTGGGGGGAAAGAGAGAGACATTGGATTACCCTCCTGCCTTCCACTTCTGGAATCTGGTTTACAAGGACAGCAGTGACGACACAGAATTCGTATTTGTATGTAGGATGCTCTTTTGAAGATAAGACGGTACTGAAGTATTTAAAAGCCTAAAGCATTACTTAATTCATCAAAACTCATTACCCCCAGGAAGAAACCGCTGAACATAAATATTCATATCTTATCTAGATCTATTCCATCATTAAATTCATTTATTAAAAAGATACAAAAAAATTTCTCTAAAGCACATTAGATATATAATACTCTGATTCTATAAAAGGAGTACGTTTTACAAGGAAAAGGAGAAGAAAGGAAGCGAACTTCAAGGGAACACTGCAGTGAGGTTTTCTCACTTGCTCTTGCCAGCCTGTTTCTGCTGTACTTGCTGCTATTTCCAAGGCTGAGTGCGTTTTCTGAGAGGCTCACCCTGCTTACATTCCAGCAGACGCTGATAGTCCCCAAGTATACAAAAGGACTGTTTTAAAAAGAAATCCAAAGAGAAGATGAAGGGAAATTCAGTTCTTAACACATTGCATATAGCTAGCATTTTATATTGTATTGTTTTCCCAAATTTGTATTTAGTAGTTATTCCTTTGTAGTGTCATGGTGCAAGTAAACCCGCTGTGTGCTATCTTTCAAATTGAAATTTCATTAGGTCCAACTAAGCCACAAGAATATTTTATATTTCAGCTTTTGGATGAGAGCAGATTATTTTTCAAATATTCAGCTAGCAAGATGTAATTCCACTATCTACTTATTAACACAAATGAGAGAACTGAATCGAGAACATAGTAAGTTAAATAAATAAATCAATAAATAAATCACACATTTGTATTAAAGAGATGGCCATCCTTATGGCAAAACTCAGACCGCAAATGAGCCATCTGGAAACAAGTAAAAACACTTGGGTCCAGTAAACTGTTAAAGGCTGTGAAACCAACTGATTGCTTCTGCTCTGTGTTACAGTATGTTCTGCATTAACAACTCCCCCTAAATTTTTAAGAGTACAGAAGTACATTGAGGTCCTTAGAAGCATTAAATAATCACAAAGAAGCAGCACGTCTCATTTATCACCACTGGCTAAAGGCAGGAACACTGCCCTGTGCTATCACAAATAGATTGTTGTTCCTATTTTCCTACAGCCCCACTGCCTGCTTTTCTGTGGTTAGGATCCCAGCCTTCCCATTCCTGAACAACTCAGCCTGACTTTCTGGCAGACATCAGTGTCAGCTGAAGTGCTGTTATCTGACCCTGCTCTGCTTTTAGGAGGTTGCTGGGAAGATGCACTTGAATAAATATGTAAATTAAAACAACAAATTGCATAATCCTTTCCCCTTCCTGCTAGCACCTCTCTGCGGAAAACCAGCCTCTATCTGCAGGTCAGCTGGCAGGGCAAAAACATTTTTCATCTTGTCCTGCTAATAGCCAATCATTCAGCCTTCAAAACCATTTTCATACATACAAGTCAGTCTCAAGGTTACACCTCAAAATCACTCCCAGCTGCAGAACGGCCATTTAGGAATCTCTCCCTTTGAAATGGTATGTAATTATATATGTCTATTGGCAGTCTTGTTGTGGAGCATTTATACTGAATTAACTTACAACACCTGCTGGTGTCTCAGGAATGATGATGATATTTTGTACACATTCCATAACTATGAAAGTTGTTAAAGTTAAAACAAAATTAATACAGAAAGTAGCATGCCTTAATAGCCACAAGATGACTTCAAGGTCTGCTCAGACCTATGTGGTCAGGAAGGACAGACCTTTATGGCAGGGTTACAAGCATTTTTTTGAATAAGGGCATTCAGCTCTGGAAATTCATGATTTTTTTATTTTTATTTTTTGATGGTATTAATAATATTTAATAAGTTTACAAGCACAAGTTGTTTTTTTTTTTAACAGTTGCTATGAGGAATGTAATGACCAAATTATTAAGCTAACTGTTACCATTTAGCAGAACTTGTCAATTAAAAGCAGTTAGGTATCCAGCAATTTCTACTGCAGAGAAGGAAGTTCAAGTCAAAAAATGTTAGACACACTTAAGTTTTCCTGCCTTTTTGACTGAGATTCTTGTACCTACAGGCATTTGAGGAAAGCTTGTGTAGATACTGAAGGCAATCTGGAAACAAAGGGATTAACCCATTTTCCCAAACCAAAGACAGAAAAAGGGTTGCAGAACAGAAAAAAAGGAAGGAGGGAAAGAATGAAAGTGAGAAAAAAAATCAGATGGTGTGCGTTTGTGTCAAGGTGGGAGGGTCTCCTGATCCTATGCCACCACTACTATCAGATGTCGATAGCAATCTCCAACTGCAAGCCAGACTTTGCCTTCTGCTGGATGCATGACAGACTGGGTAGGAAAATGTTCTCTGATCCTAACCCAGTCTTGAGAGCCAGAACAGGAGGTTAGATAGTACTCAGCAGCACAGAAAGTGGGTTTGGAGAAAGGACTGCTTGTTGAGCAGAGCACCCAAAACAGCACTGTTTCCCATCCACCCATCTGACATCAGGAATCATCTGGAAAAGATTCGAAAAGCAGAAAAACTGTCTGGGTGATATCCACAAGAGGTCACAAACTTGGTAAGGAAAGGCCAAATCAAGGCAATTTCCTCAGGTGTGTAAAATCAATTCCTTCTTCTTCTCTTACTTCCATGGCTGTTTTTCTCTCTCCCTTTGCCGATTATACCTGCTTCCCTCACCCTGCCCTCCTGGGACATTTTATTCAACAGACACAACACTGGCAAGTGCAGTGCTTACAAGTTCTTCATGTTTTCAGAGTTAAATCTCTCATTTATACAAGGGGATATCTTCCAAGAGAAACTGCTCAAGGAGGATAAGCCCAGAGCAAGTGGCCTCTGTGGGTTCTATTGCAACCACTGCCTCTCAGCAGCCGCTTAGCAGGATTTGGCACAGGTCTGTCTCTCACACTTAACCTTCCTTCTATGTGAAGAAGAGGGCAGCGGAGCTGAGTTCAAAGAGCCTGGGTCCAATGCCTTCTTCTGGCAGCATCTGCTGGGGGCCCTCGGCCAACTCTGCATCTCACTTCCCTGTGAAGGGAAAAAACTGCAGTGCAGACACACTCCAGCACAGGTCAGCAGCTCTGCTGCATGTGTGCCACATTTCAGCATTGTGAAGTTGTGGAAATACTCATGGGGATCACAAGTCACAGTGTAGTGCTTAAGCTGCAAGCCCAGAAAGATTCCTAGGTAATTATGGGTCACTGTTTTGCTTGGAAATGATTTCAGAATTTGAACATAAACTCACTATAATGTTTGTTTCTGACAGAGGGTTAGGGTTGGACTTGCTGATTCTTCATAATAATAAGGGCCAACAACCAAGCAGAACGATATTACAATAGACACTGTGCATGCAGAAATATCTGTCCCAAAGAACTTACAGTTCAAACACAGGCAGTGGTTGAAAAAACCAACCAGAAGAGATTCCACTCCTTTCATTTTACAGACTGGGGAAACTCTGCGATGCTCAGCAATTCAAAAGCTCAACATAAAAATTGCTTCTCCTGCTGCATAAGAAAGTCTGAAATCTAAAAATCCTTCCCATGCTGCAGCAAAGCAAAACAAATATCCTTTGAGAAGGGAAAGAGAGATCAGCATTACTCTGCTCAAAACAGCTGAGTCTTCCCTTGTTCAGGTGATTCCTTCAAAACTAGTTAAAATCTTAAGTCAAAATCAAACAGAAGAGAATTCCACCTGGGACTTTCTCAACTAACACCTGACCACAGAATTTTTGATACTCAAACATGTGCAAGAGCATATGCACACATCCATTCAAATCAGAAACTGCATTCTTGCTGTCATCAGTACAATGTTATTTTAGCTCCGTTACATCTGCCTTCCTGACAAAACAACAACACAGCTGTCCTCCAACTACGTTCCAGCAACCTGCCAGACACAGCACAAAGCCTACAGCAGAACTGAAGTCTCAGCCTGGATCTTCTAAATCCACTGCAATGCTTGAAAAATAGGCTGTGCCTCCTCTTTATTTCTCTTTTCACCATTCAGTTTTATATCCAATTTGCAAGTACATGGAAGTATTGGAAAAGCTGGGCTAGCTGGATGCCACTTCCCTTGCTCTACAACTTTTTGAACACACAAGTATAACTGCAACTTTGCAAACCCCTGTGTTTGTGTGTATCCTGGAAGATGATTAAACACATCCACAATGAGTGCCTTATGGAAAGGAACAAATCAAAATGAAGCAACAGTTAAAAACTAAGTTTTAAAAAATAACAGTAAATAAGAGCAGAAAAGGAAAAATAACAGAATCATAGAATGGTTTGGGTTGGAAGGGACATTCAAGATCGTCTAGTTCCAACCCCCCTTGCTATAGGCAGGGACACCTCCCTCCAGACCAGGTTGATCAAAGTCCCATCCAGCCTGGCCTTGAATGCTACTGGTGGGGGGCATCCACAACCTCTCTGGGCAACCTGTTCCAGTGTCTCACCACCCTCACTGTAAAGAATTTCTTCCTAATATCTAGTCTAAATCTACCCTCTTCCAGTTTAAAACTACTCCCTTTGTCCTGTCGCTACCTGCTCTTATAAGAAGTCCCTCCCCAGGTTTTCTGTAAGCCTCTTCAGGTACTGGAAGGCTGCTGTAAGGTCCCCCTGCAGCCTTTTCATCTCCAGGCTGAATAGCCCCAGCTCTCTCAGCCTGTCCTCATAGGGGAGTGCTTCAGTCTGATCATCTTCATGACCCTCCTCTGGACACAATCTTGGCCCCCTTGTGTTGGGGGCCTCAAACTGGGTGCAGTACTCCACATGGGGCCTCACGAGAGCAGAATAGAGGTGCAGAATCACCTCCCTTAACTCACTGGCCACAATTCTTTTGATGTAACCCAGGATATGGTTGGCCTTCTGGGCTGCAAGTGTGCACTGTGGGCTCATTTTGAATCTGTCATCAACCGACACTCCCAAATCCTTTTCCTCAGGGCTGTTCT